CTGGAAGCCTACCTTCCCTAGGTAGAGATTTCAGGAAAAGCAATATTTGAGGCACTGGTAGTCAGCATTAATCAAGAGAAAATGAGTTTTTTATTGAAATAGAATTAAGGTTATCATAGCAACTTTGTTTTTATTTTTTCTTCCACAAGTCAAACATAATCACGATTGCATCTTTCAATCATTATTGTTTATAATGTTTATAACAAATATAAACTATTTCTGTAATCTGCAATGCCATTTATTTAACAGTTGCTGTAGACTGTAGTATTACCTTACAATGATAGATAATTTTATTTTTTTAAAAGATTTTATTTATTTATTTGACAGAGAGAGAGACAGCAAGATAGGGAACACAAGCAGGGGGAGCAGGAGAGGGAGAAGCAGGCTTCCCACTGAGCAGGGAGCCTGATGCAGGCTCAATCCCAGAACTCTGGGATCATGACCTGAGCCAAAGGCGGACGCTTAACGACTGAGTCATCCAGGCACCCCCAATGTTAGATAATTTTAAAATACTCTTTATTTTGAAATAATTTCTAACTTCAACTTCTGCCTAGTTCTGTTTTGACACCTTAGTGCGTTATATTACAGATATTTGTTTACTCAGTCTGCTTCTATATAAGACTATGATTTCTTTGCATTCTCATTCCCTGGTCTGTATCTCTTACATAAAATAAACTTAAAGAATAAAATGATTAACTCATTATTTGCAAGATGGAAAATTGAAGTCCTGAGTTTTCAGTAGTTTTTTGCTCTAAATTCCTTATTGATATCCCAACAATTTCAACTTTTAATTTAAAGATTTAATAATTGACAGTAAAAACATTTTTTAAATGCCTACTTGAAACCTCTTACAGATAGTTATATAATTTTTCATTTTAGTAACATGTAGTCCTCTTTTGCTGTTTATCCTGCTATGGTCTTATTTACTATATCACTTATATATGTTGTATAATCTGAATTAAGTTAAATATCATTAGTATTTTCATCATGCAATCATGGCACTTTAAATCTAGGAAGTAATTCTCAAATCAAGGTTTGAACACTATTTCTATTAGCAAGAATAAATAGTAATAGTAAAGGGTTTAAATGTAGAGTTTTTAATAAAATTCGTTGGGCTGAATTAAGTTATTTTAAAATAGAAACCAGAATGTCATTTATTAATTTGTACTTAAGACAGGAAATATCCCCAAGTATCTAGAATATGTAAGTGCCTTATTTGTGATACTCTCTTTTCTTTTTTTCTTTTTTCTTTTCTTTTTTTTTAGTTAACAAGCAGTTTGTTTTATTTTTAAATCTAGGATTAGATACTTGGTTTCACCAGATTATTTTTCAGTAATTTTTGAGGTGACCATATGAAGTCCGACAGTGTGATACCTCCAGCTTTGGTTTTCTTTTTCAACATTCTTTTGGCTATTAAGGCTCTTTTCTGGTTCCATACAAATTTCAGGATTATTTGTTCCAGCTCTGTGAGAAGAGTTGATGTTATTTTGATAGGGATTGCTTTGAATGTATAGATTGCTATAGGTAGCATAGACATTTTAACAATATTTGTTCTTCCAATGAATGAGCATGGAACGTTTTTCCATTTCTTTGTGTCTTCCTCAATTTCTTTCATGAGTGTTCTATAGTTTTCTGAGTACAGCTCCTTTGCCTCTTTGGTTAGGTTTATTCCTAGCTATCTTAGATTTTGGGTGCAATTGTAAATGGGATCGACTCCTTAATTTCTCTTTCTTCTGGATCTCGTTGGTGTATAGATGTGCAACTGATTTCTGTGCATTGATTTTATATCCTGCCACATTGCTGAATTCCTATAGGAGTTCTAGCAATTATGGGGTGGAGAATTTGGGTTCTCTACTTAGAGTACCATGTCATCTGCAAAGAGTCAGTGTTTGACTTCTTTGCCAATTTGGATGCCTTTTATTTCTTCTTGCTTTCTGATTGCTGAGGTTAGGATTTCTGGTACTATGTTGAACAACATTGGTGAGAGTGGACATCCCTGTCGTGTTCCTGACCTTAGGGGAAAAGCTCCGTTTTTCCCCATTGAGAATGATATTCACTGTGGGCTTTTCATATATGGCTCTTAAATATTGAGGTGTGTTTCTTCTATCCCTACACAGTGAAGAGTTTTAATCAAGAAAGGATGTTGTACTTTGTCAAATGCTTTTTCTGGTTCTGTTGAGAGGATCATATGGTTCTTGTCCTTTCTTTTATGTAGTGTATCACATTGATTGATTTGTGGATGTTGAACCAACTTTACAGCCCAGGAATAAATAAAATAAAGGGGAAAAAATTAAAATTGAAAGACTAAAGAATTGTGGGGGGAAAAAATGAATTCTCTATGCTATATTCCCCTAGCACTGGAGTTTTGCAGTTCTAAATGATCGATAAACTTGATCTTGGCTGGATGTTCTTGCTGATCTTCTGGGGGAGGGGCCTGTTGTGGTGATTTTCAAGTGTGTTTGTCCTGGGTAGAATTGTACCACCCTTGCCAGGGGGCCAGGCTAAGTAATCTGCTCCAGATTGTTCTTTATGGTTTTTGTTCCCTGAAGGCTTTCTGCACAGCTCTAGAGGATGAGAATGAAAATGGTGGCCTCCAAATCTCCAGCCCCAGAGCCAAGAGCTCTGGGCCCCACTTCTCAGTGTGCCCTGGGGTAAATGCAGTCAATCACTCCTGTCTCCCTGGACTCTGTCTGCACTCTGCGCTCACCCAGTCTGAGACCGAGCATTTCTATGTCGGGCACATGACCCTATTTTGAGTCTCCAAACCCTGCAGACTCCTGTGGTGCCCTCCTCCCAGAGTAGGAAGGGGAGTCTCACCAGTTCTGCCGCTTTTTGGGCCCCTGTTTGAAGAGTGGTCAGCTGACTGTGCCATGGTTCATGGTATGTGGCAGCCCTGAGCAGAAAGCCCACTCCTGGGCTCACTGAGTGTATCCGGCTTCCCTGCTCCAATGCCTGGTAACTCAGTTATACTCAAGCACCCCCGGTCTTCCTGTCATCCCCAAGGATCCTAAGACCACACTGTTCCACCTAGGATTCTGCCCTGCTTTGCCACCTGAGCACCTTTCAGGCAAGGACATCTCTCACCACAGCCGACTTCTAAAAGTTCCGATTTTGCACTCTGCTGCTATATCACTTTTTGGTGCCAGCTTATGGAGGCTTCCTCCCCCTGAGGTTTATCTTCCCATAAATCTCCTTGGATTCACTTCTGTGCACCTCCTACCTTATAGAAAGTGGTTGCTTTTCTATTTTTAGAGTTCCATCTATTCTTTTTTTTTTTTTTAATTTTATTTATTTATTTGACGGAGAGAGAGACAGCGAGAGCAGGAACACAAGCAGGGGGAGTGGGAGAGGGAGAAGCAGGCTTCCTGCCGAGCAGGGAGCCCGATGTGGGACTCGATCCCAGGACCCTGGGATCATGACCTGAGCCAAAGGCAGATGCTTAACGACTGAGCCACCCAGGCGCCCTAGAGTTGCATCTATTCTTTTTTTAGATCTCTGGTTGAGTTTGCAGGTGTTCAGAATGATTTGATAGCTATCTAGGTGAATTCCTGGGATCAGATTAAACTAAGGTCTCCTACTCCTCCACCATCTTGGACTGATACTCTCTTTTCTGATATTGAAGTATTTATAAAGTTAAATAAGTAGTCAGAAAGTTCCTTTTTAAGCACTGAATTTGAGTAATGGTAGATAGGTAATCTTGATGTTTAAGAGCTTAGAGTACCTGATAGATACATGATAGTAGTCACAAATGCAAGCTATATGTGTAATTTAAAAGTTTTTGTAGTCACATTTTAAAAACTAAAAGCAGCAGATGAAGTTAATTTTAAAACTATAGCTTAACTCAATATATCCACCATATTATTTTAAAATGTATTCAGTATTTTTTAATTAGCCTTTTTTATACTAAGTACTTTAAATCTGGTACATATTTTACACTTAATGTGCATCTCAGTTACATCCTTCAATTACTTGTGGAAATTACTGAATCACCCTGTATCTCAATATCCCAATTTTTACAATGGCAACTGTTATGAGAATTAAATGAGGGGCACCTGGGTGACTCAGTAATTAACCGTCTGCCTTCAGCTCAGGTCATGATCCCAGCCTCCTGGGATCAAGCCCTGCATGGGGTTCCCTGCTCATGGGGAAGCCTGCTTCTCCCTCTCCCGCTCCCCCTGCTTTTGTTCTCTCTTTCACTATATCTCTCTCTGTCAAATAAATAAATAAAATCTTCTTTAAAAAAAGAATTAAATTAGATAATATATAACATGTCTGGCAATTGATAAGTGTTACATAATTCTTAGCTACTTTCTTAAAAAAACATTTTCAAACAGGTGATCATGGCAGTAATGACTTCAGTGCCTTAAGGCAAAGATCATATTTTAGGGATTAAATTGTAACCCTTAAACACTCATCTCTTTTCCTTGGACAGTGCTGGACACACACACATCTCTCCAAGTCCTTGTTTAAATTACTTTTAAAAAGAAGCAAAATCATTATTGGTTCATCAATTGTGACTCACGTACAACACTAATATAAGATGTTAATAACAAGGAAAACTGGTGGGGCATCTGGGAAATAAACCTCTTTACTTTCTACTCAATTTTTCTGTAAATTCAAAACTACTCTATAAAAAGTAAATTATGTTAATTAAAAACAAACCAAAAAGGCAAATATCATATCTGTTATTAGTTCTTGCTACATCTTAGTTGTGACAGAATCCATCAGTAAAAGTGGTAACATTACTAAAAGTATCAATAAGAGAAGTTTATAGTTAAAAATATAACTTAATGTTTCCTCTTTTAGTAGTCATTCATTATCCACCTCTTTTTAAGTAACATATGGAAAACTTAAGCATGAAAAGGTCGTTTTTATTCCATGGTCATTGGGGCGGGCAATGGGCAATTATTGGTGGCATTCTGATGCTAATGGCAGAAATACTCCATATATTTTTATAGACTATTGCCAGTTTTGAGAATATTTTCTTTTCCTAATTTCAGGTTGGGTGGGACTATATCAGCATACAAGATAGTACCAGATGAAATAGAAGAAATCAAGGTATAGTATGCCATTTTTCATCTCTAAGAAGACTTAGTATCTTGCCGGGTAGGTGGGGGAAGGATTGCTTTTTCTTTATACTGTTGAATGTTTGGGTGTGTTGGGATCTCATTTAATTCAGTTATCTATTTTAATTAAAAAATATAAGGTAACCCCCATCAGATTTCAATCACCATTATCAATGCATTTCTTGAAAATTATTTGGAAGATCAAAAAGGAACACTTCATGTGAAATTCATTGAAAATCTACTTAAGAAACACTATATATAGCATTAGTGTGCATAATGGATTATCTTTCTATCTTGTTTTAATTTATTTTCCCTGTAGGCTTTCACTAATTATAAGTACCAATCTTTTGGAAAATATTTTCTGGTTCCACTGAAAACACAGTATGCCAATTGCAATTTAAAGTCTGTAGTACGTGGGGCACCTGGGTGGCTCAGTCGTTAAGTGTCTGCCTTTGGCTCAGGTCATGATCCCAGTGTCCTGGGATCAAGCCCCGCATCGGCTCCCTGCTCAGCAGGAAGCCTGCTTCTCCCTCTCCTGCTCCCCTTGCTTGTATTCCTTCTCTTGCTGTGTCTCTCTCTCTGTCAAATAAATAAATAAATAAATCTTTAAAAAAATAAAATAAAATTTATAGTACATTAAATGAAAACTTGACCTTACTCTTTGAAAATTACATAATCTGCATTCTTCTGTTGTTAACATTTTACCCAATCCTATGGACTGTTAGTCTTCTGGCATATCATGTGGCCCTTCCCCAAGAGCAATTTACAATCTAATCAGAACTGAACTCATTATCTATTATATAAATAAAATTTAACAACTTGATAGCAATAGTCAAGGATAGCAATACTGAGTTAAATTGTTAACAATGAGATTTAAAGATCCAAACAAATCATCAAGCTTAATTTAATCAAGCTTTCCAAAATCAGGTTCAATAAATTCAAATCTTAGTCAATAATCATTCATTTGCTCACATTATTTTCAAATCAGTTAATGTCATTGGTCTTTATTATGTAATATACTATTAGTTTCAATATGTCTGGTGTTCTGTATAGCCAATATCAGAAATTAATCCAATAATTATATTCTAGCAGGGGAAAAAAAAAAAACAGGAGTGTGAAAAGACCCATTCCAACTTTATATATATTCATAAAATACTTTGGTTGACAGAAACCTTAAGTCCAATCCAGCTTGTGTTGCTATTAACTTAAAGAGGAGATATAAGAGAAGGAATAAGTTTGAGAGGAAAGAGGGTAAGTTTTGGACTTATAAATTTGAGGTCCCTCTCAGATAACCAAATACCCATTAAGTCATTGGTTAAATCAGCCAGAACCTCAGAAGAAAGATAATTTTATCTTTCAGTTGATACTGGGATTTGTCCTTATCCAAGAATTACTTGAGGGCATGCTAGTTAATGGAATCACCTAAAAAAGCTCTATGAAGTAATAGCAGTAGACCAAAACTGTTGACCTGTCCAAGAACCTGTCCAAGGATTCATATGTTTTTTTTATTAGTTTAATTAATTAGAAGAAACATTGCTATGTTTTATAGTGACTTTTCTCTAAAGAAATAATTTTTTCATTGTGTTTTTTGAAATTCTAGAATTATAAGAGTTGTCCCTCAGGAGATTCCTTCAAAAAAACATGATTCATGATGACATTACTATATGATTTTTTAAAATTAATTACTGGAATTATATCTAAAACAGCTTCAGAGAGTTTGAAGCCTGAGGCATAAAAGATATGAAATTGATTCTTGTTTCAAAAGTGTTAGAAGAAAACTTGCTATAAAATATTTCATCAACATTTATTTGATGGCACCATTATCATTTTCAACTGAAATCAGATATAATCTTTTTGTTTTGATTGGAGAAAATGTGAAGCATCTGGTTGTAATGTTCATTTTAGTTGGCAAATAACTGAGTAATTTTAAATTATCTGAATAGTACAATTGAGTTTAAATTTGAAATACATCCACAATATACCATGTATAAATAAATATACATGTGTATTTTTATTATTAAAATATGATTGATTAATAAAACATAATTCAGTTTTTACAAAGTATGGTAATCTTCACAATATTTCTAGCACCAGAAATTATTATTTAGTTCATACATAGTTTGAATTAAGCATTTGTTGATTGATTACAATAAATCACCACATAGCGGATGGATGGCCAAAAGCTTAAGAGGTAAAGTGCAAATTCATTCCTGGCCCAATCATGACCATCTGTTCCACCCAATATCCTGAGTTCTTATTATTTCATTTAGTTTTATTTTTATACACATCCCTAAATATTATAATTTATTTGTGTTTCTCTTTGAATTTTATATGAATTGAATCACAATGTATACATTCTCTTGTGCCTTCTTTGGTTCAACACTGTGAGATTTATTCATATTGTTATCTATAGCTAAGATTTTGGGGGGGTTTGTTATTATTTTTTTTTTCTGTAAAATACTCCATTGTGCCACAAATTATTGAGACATCCTACTCTTGAGGGACATTCACCTTGCTTCCATCTGGAGCTATTATGAAAAATGATGGTATAAAATCTTATAAAAGCATCCTGTGTAAGAGTTTCTTTGAGGTATATACTGAAAAATGGAATTCCTGAGTTTTAAGTAATGTGTATTTTCAACTTTTCTGTATGAAATCGAACTGTTTTCCAAATAGTTATGGCAGGTATACTGCCACCTTGGGTGTATTTATTTTAAATAGAAATGTTTAGATATTCTTTATCTGTAATTTATATTGGTATAAATTTATTTTTATATATGGGATGACTAAACTTACAAAATATTTTTCAAATGTATCTTTATTTTCCCAGCCCAATTTATTGAAAAAAACAAAAAAACAAATTGTCCCCCACTGGTTTGAATTGCCTCATTTATTATATACTAAATTTTCATATGCCTTGATACACACATACACATACATAAGTCTGTCTTTTCCTGAACTTTTGATTCACCTATCTATTTATTCCATTGCTAGCACCATACTGTTCTGGTTATAGTGCTTTTTTTTAACATAATAGGAAAGGTTTGTGGGGTTTTTTTATACTGTTGGCTCATATATTAATTGCTTCAGGTAATATTATAGTAAGTTTATCAAGTTTCAAAAGTATCCCTACTGAGGAAACTTGTGGTGCTAGCCAAATACAGTAGCTCTGTTCTTCCCAAATCTTTTCTTTTATGACTAAAAATTCCTGGACATTTAAAATAAACAAGCATAGAAAGACTCTGAAGGAGGAAGAAGAAATCAGACTTTCTAAGGACTTCAGGACTTGAGGAATGACACAGCAATGAGTTAGCTGGGTTTCCTTTTTGCCTCCTATTTACTCTCAACAGGACACTGATGAAGGCTCCAATCTGGAAACACCAACAGGCACAGACAAAACAAAACAAAACAAAAACACTTAGGAAATCCTGTCATTCAAGCCATAGGACCCAGGATAGGGGTGGACTAACAGAACAAAAGCCTTTGGCAATACTCACCTTACTCCAGCCAAACACCAATGGGAAAACTACTTAGTTCCCCCACAGTTTTAGCACAGCCAAGCAGGAAGCTGATCTTCCACCTCACCCCTGCTACCCACAGAAGCAGATGGCAAAGCTTTGAATCCCTCCCCTGGTAGTGTTTATTGGCAGGACGGGTGGGGAGCTGTTCAGTCTCCCACACTCCCACAAAATAGACAGTGCTCTGATTTCCCTGCTAGGATAGGATCTTCCATCAGCTCAGGGAAAACAGGCTGTGTTCTGCTTTCTATGACACAATATTGTTAGTGGACTCCAGTGATGAGCTGAGTCTCTACCCCCACCCAGCAGCAGTAAGACTAAAGAGACCACGCACGGTGGAGCTACTCACCACTCTCCTTTACCTTCCCTTTCCTGTGTCTCTGAGGCCTATAAGGGAGATGTGACTCCATCCCTGTCTGCATCAATAAGGCTGAATGAGATGGGGATAATTGATATTCCGTTCTTAGTAAGTTTTAACCTTCTACTTCCCCTCTTGGTGTCAGCGGGGCTCAGCAGGGAGGTGAACATCTACCCCTACCAACAATGTGAAGCAAAGTGGTGCCCCACTTTTTGGCCAAGAGAGGACCTAAACTTCTACCCTACTGTCTTTAATGAAGCAGTATAAATGAGTGCCTCAATTTTGCCAGAGTGGTGTCAGTGGGACCCAGAAAGAAGCTGAACATATATATTTATATTGCCATCATACAATATTATAACAAAGGGACATCTGCTAAAAAAGATTAAATAAGATTGAGAGTTTCATAATATCGAAAATGTCCTGGGTACAGTAAAAAATCATACCAAGAACAAGGAAAATCACAACTTCAGTGGGGGGAAAAAAAACAGTCAACAGATAACAACACAAAGATGAATCAGATGTTAGAATTATCTGACAAAGATTTCAAAGCAGTTATCATAAAAATGCTTCAACAAGCAATTACTAATTTTCTTGAAACAAATGAAAATAGAAATTACAAAAAGGAACAAAATGTTAATTACAGAACTGAAAAGTACAATCACCAATATAAATGGCTGATTGGGGGAGGGTGGTGGAAAACAGTTGTGCCAGAAGGAAGTGGAACAACATTTTTCAAGTGCTGATATAAAGAACTGTCAATCACAAAGTCCAAATCCAGTGAAATTATTCTTCAGTAATCAAAGGGAAATGAGGACACATTCAAACAAAAGAAAACTTAAAGAATTTGTCTCGAAAAAACCTACCCTGTATGAATGGATAAATTCTCCAAAGAGAATTGGAGAGGAAATGAAAAAACTTAAGAAATAAAAGGAGGGGAAAAGGAAAATGATAACAGAAAAATGCTTGAAACTTCAGAAAGGAAAGAAAAACAGCAGAATAGATAAATATAGTAGACTGTCTTTTCTTACGGTTTTCTTAAGTCACATTTGACGGTTGAAGCAAAAATTTTAACACTGTATGATGTGGTGCACAATGCATGTAGAGCAAATAACACAA